TTACCGTCCTCTCTCGCTCTTCGTTTGTTGTTTTTGTTTGTAGCCTGGTGCTGGGCTACAGCAATATGGAGAAGAAGACATTGCCTTTTATTTCTCTCTGCCTCTACTGAGATACTGATGTCATGCTGCACCATTCTTCTTCAGCTTGCTAGAGAGAGCTAAAACCAAACAAGTTCATAGACTTCTATGTAGAGTGCTGAGAATCCTTGGAGTTGTAGTTGGAGATGCCAGACATATAATAGGATGAATAGATTCCTTACACGACAGATCCCAATAGACACTATGCAGTAGGAGGAGTGGAGAGATGATTTTTTTGTAAACTGTCCAGTAAAAGTTCTTCCTCTTATCCTAAGGGAGTTAGAGAGAGAGAGAGAGAGAGAGAGAGAGAGAGAGAGAGCACCTCTATCTGGATATTCACCTGCCAGCAGAAGAAAACACCAGTGGAGACCTGAGCTTGAGACTGGGAGTGAGATTACCCAAGGGCAGCACAGCACTGTCCACATCACAGCACCTGCACCATTGCCACATAGAGACTGGAGCATCCACTCACCTCTGCTTCCCACCACTGATCACCAGAGGCTTTCAGGAAAGCTAGAGCCCTTCTACTGTTTTTGGGGAGAAACCAACGTCTACAGGGAGAGGTTACCGAGGCATTCTGGGACTGGTGAGAGGGCTATTCACCCATGGCTGATACCACTAGAAGGGACTGAGCCAATGAGAACAGGACAGGTGTACCCAATTCATTCCACGCCCATATTGCACTCTGTACCACATTTATTTCAAACCTAGACTTCACTTCCTTCATCATATTATACCGAACCTTTACTGCATCTGAACCACATCGACCTACCTAAAATATACTGTACCTATACTGAACGCAGGTTGGCTGGGACTGTCCTAAGTGCATTGACGCTTTTAGAAGGCCCCAAAGATAGCCAGCAGAACATCTCAAAAGACTCCCCTCCTGTAATAATTATTCTACAAACCCCCCTTGGTCCCCTTCCCCCTCTGCTGTATCCTCCTTTTCTTCTGGACAGGGCATACCAAGTCTGTTAAGAACTAGCATCGTCACTATAATTGCACCCTGGCAGCACTCGGTAGATTAAACTTTACTACTGCTCACTGCTGCACTTGAGGTGGCCTTGCTACTGATTATGCTGATCTGAACACCAAATGTCATCTTATGCCTAGTCCCTACTGTTAATCACTTTGTATTCTAAATTGTGTTATTACCATTGTTTATCCACTTTATGATTGCCTAGTTACCAACCATATTCGGTGACAAAAAAAATTAATTTGCCTTTTACTACCTGGTTTGATATTTGTTTTCTTCAATAAACCACGACTCTTTGGTACAAAGTACTACTTTCAGTGAATTCCTGTGATATTATACTGTATGTTTGTACACTCAACCTAGTGTATCAGAGGGGCTGAGGTTTTCGAGAAGGTTGAGGTAAAGAACAGAGGACCCATCCTATCCAGCGGCTCCTAAGGGGGTAGCGCTACTAGAGAGATAACTATTTTCTCCTTATCCCTGTTCTATTTATTATAATCAAACTTGTTTGTGAAATATATTTGATGGATTTAGAAATGCATTTGACCAAAATAAACCTCAAAATTAACAGCATCAATGCAGAACAGGAACCCTCAGGGTTCGCATTAGTGTCCCATACCCCCAAAGTTCAGAATGCTTTGATATACATATTTTATCTTTCTCTGAGAAAGTTGGAGCTAGTCTGACCTTTTCCCACAACTCCCTGTAAATGCCAGCACAAGGTTAACCAGCACCCAAGATGAAGATGTCTCCTATGTGGTGTACTTTCCCAATTGTCCGTCCCACTCCATCATTATATCTATGTACAGGGGTCAAGAATGGGTGACAGTGCAGGGGCAGCAGTAAAGGTATCACATAGAGTACAGGGGTCAAGAGTAAAAGTAATGTATCGAGTCCTGAGATCAAGAGTAAAAGTAAAGTTCTGAGTGCTGGGGTCAGGAGTAAAAGTGTTGTTCAAAGTGCAGGGATTAGAAGTGGGGAACATACAGAGTGTGGGGGTTAGCAGTATAAAAAATAAAGAGTGCAGGGTTATGTAATATATAGAAGACAAGGGTCAGAAGTGGGAAATCATATGTGTATACACTAACATAAGTATACACATATGTTCAGGTACAGCCTACCTGACAGCTCCCTCCCTGAAAAAATCAAATTATATTTTTGCTAAAAACACACTAAAACCATTATTAGTGGACACAAACGCAATAAAATTCCATCAGATAAAAGGGGGACCCCCGGCCAGGGCCTGGTACAGAAGAACTGGCTATACTGCATTATCAGCAGCCCTGCATACAGAGTGCAGAGATCAGGAGTAAAATCAACATACAGTATACCCCAGTGAACAAAATACAGGGTTTAGTTGTATGTAATACACAACACCATATGATTCATTCCACCACCTTTATACACAGAACAGCAGAATCCCCTAAGAGGCATTTCAGAAACACACCATACACTCACATGCACATATTGTACATATATATACATATGTATACAATCATGCCCACATACATACATACAGGCACATCCACATAAAGTGCCTTGAAAAAGTATTCATACCCTTTGAAATTTTCCACATTTTCTCATGTTACAACCAAAAAACATAAATGTGTTTTATTGGGATTTTATGTGATAGACCAACACAAAGTGGCACATAATTGTGAAGTTGAATGAAAATGGTAAATGGTTTTGATTTTTTTTTACAAATAAATATGTGAAAAGTGTGGCGTGCATTTTCAGCCCCCCTGAGTAGAACTACCTTTCACTGCAATTGCAACAGCAAGTCTTTTTGGGGATGTCTCTACCAGCTTTGCACATCTAGAGAGTGACATTTTTGCCCATTCTTCTTTGCAAAATAGCTCAAGATGTCAGATTGGATGGAGAGCATCTGTGAACAGCAATTTAAAGTCTCAGTTGGATTTAGGTCTGGATTTTGACTGGGCCATTCTAACACATGAATATTCCATTGTAACTCTGGCTGTATGTTTAGGGTCATTGTCCTGCTGGAAGGTGTACCTCCACCCCAGTCTCCAGTCTTTTGCAGACTCTAACAGGTTTTCTTTCTAAGATTGCCCTGTATTTGGCTCCATCCATCTTCCCATCAACTCTGACCAGCTTCCCTGTCCCTGCTGAAGAAAAGCATCCCCTCAGCATGATGCTGTCACCACCATGTTTCACGGTGGGGATGGTGTGCCCATGGTGATGTGCAGTGTTAGTTTTCTGCCACACATAGCGTTTTGCTTTAAGGCCAAAAAGTTCAATTTTGTCTCATCTGACCAGAGCACCTTCTTCCACTTGTTGTGTCTCCCACATGGCTTCTTGCAAACTGCAAACGGGGCTTCTTATGGCTTTCTTTCAACAATGGCTTTTTTCTTGCCACTCTTCCATACAGGTCAGATTTGTGGAGGAGTGCACAACTAATAATTGTCCTGTGGACAGATTCTCCCACCTGAGCTGTGGATCTCTACAGCTCCTCCAGAGTTACTGTCAGGAATGGACTGGCCAGCAATAGTGGGACTCACCTGCCTTGTGAGCTGCAGTACCAGGGCTGGCCAGCGGGTGCTCCCAGCAATCAGAGACTCAACCTTGCAGCCAGTCAAACACCTGGAACTAATTATACTGGTGTATTTAAGGGACATTCAGACCTGCAGACTCTGCCTTGGTGTTGTGTTTTTCCTGGGCCTTGTATCTTGTTCCTGCATCCTGCTCCTGTCTTGTTGCTTGGCCTGCCTGACGCTTGCACTGTATGTACTGTTATCTGTGGGTGGTTTGGTTTGGTTCGTTTGTACTGTGTTATGTTTTAGTATTGCACTGCGTTTATGTTTGTATTGTTAGTGTTAATAAATTGTTTATAACTTATCTGAAGTCTGCGTTTCCCTGCGTCAGTCACACACCTCTGGTCATACCCGGGAGCCCTGACATTACACCAAGGCCAATCCTGACCAGAAGTGGCTGCACAGGGAAGCCATCTTGGTTTGTTGATGGGAAGGATGGATCTTGATGAGGTTGTGTATTTATATCTGCTAGTGTTTGATGACAGGGAGTATGCTTATCAAACTCTGAAGGAGTATACCCGGGATGAACTGCTAGAATGTATACGGCTCGCTCATGTTCTAGTAGATCAGGGCACAGAGTTCTCTGAGGTGCAGCCATTGATTGAGGTTTGTGCTGAGTTGGTTTCATCTGGTTCCCCCGAATGCAGGGATGAATTTTTGCCACCATTTAGTGCCGACCAGGTAGAGTCCCTGGTATGGTTATTAGAGGATGATGTGGGTTACTTTCTGGAGTGTTATTCCACATGTTCACCACAGGTACTAAGAGATTGTATAAACGCAGTGCAGTCTTTGGTCAGACAGGCTTTGTGTAAGCTCAGCTTTGTTCAACCCATACTGCAGACATGGACAGATTTGTTACATCCCAGCCTCAGTCAGCTTACAAAGACCCAGTCCTGCTTCTAATCTATCTCCTCAAAGCTCTACTCCTGTATTCCCAACAGCTCCTCCTGCCCTGATATCTACCGCATGTCAGTACCCTGTTCTCACTCGCTGCACCTATCCTGCCTTTAACCCTGTAAAGAAGCCCTCTGTAGCGACTGTTCCTTCCCCTGTTCCATCCTCCAGCTCTTCTCTGTCTCCAGCTGCTCCATTCATTTGCAGACCTGCGTTTACTTGCAGTGCCCCAGTAGTTAAAACCAGAAAAAAAAGCGAAAATTCTTTCCAACCAGTACCATCCTGCCAGTATCCAAACCGGTGAGCCTGCCGTCTGAGAACCTGCCTTCCGTGGCTCAGCCTGATGCCTGTACTCAGCCTGATGCCTGTACTCAGCCTGAAGCCTCTACTCAGCCTGAAGCCTCTACTCAGCCTGAAGCCTCTACTCAGCCTGAAGCCTCTACTCAGCCGGATGCTTCTACCCAGCATAATGAACTGATCCAGCCTGATGATCCTATTAGGCCAGTTGACTCAATGCCCGCTGTTGATCCAGATAATCTGGTACCTGATCCGGTGCCCGCTGTCGTGCCAATTGACTCAGAGCCCGCTGTCGTACCTGGTGACTCGGTGCCCACTGCCTTGCCAGATGACGCGGTGCCCGCTGGTGAGCCAAATGACCTGATGCCTGGTGACCCAGTGCCCGCTGTCATACCTGGTGACCCGATGCCCGCTGTCGAGCCAGACGATCCAATGCCAGACGACTCGGTGCCCGCAGTCTTGCCAGACGACTCGGTGCCCGCAGTCTTGCCAGACGACTCGGTGCCCGCAGTCTTGCCAGACGACTCGGTGCCCGCAGTCTTGCCAGACGACTCGGTGCCCGCAGTCTTGCCAGACAACTCGGTGCCCGCAGTGCCCGCTGTCATACCTGGTGACCCGATGCCCGCTGTCGAGCCAGACGATCCAATGCCAGACGACTCGGTGCCCGCAGTCTTGCCAGACAACTCGGTGCCCGCAGTCTTGCCAGACAACTCGGTGCCCGCAGTCTTGCCAGACGACTCGGTGCCCGCAGTCTTGCCAGACGACTCGGTGCCCGCAGTCTTGCCAGACGACTCGGTGCCCGCAGTCTTGCCAGACGACTCGGTGCCCGCAGTCTTGCCAGACGACTCGGTGCCCGCTGTTCCGCCAGTTGACTCGATGCCCGCTGTTCCGCCAGTTGACTCGATGCCCGCTGTCTTGCCAGACGACTCGGTGCCCGCTGTCTTGCCAGACGACTCGGTGCCCGCAGTCTTGCCAGACGACTCGGTGCCTGCAGTCTTGCCAGACGACTCGGTGCCCGCTGTTCCGCCTGGGGGCCCGAGACCTGTCGCTCCGCCTGGGGGTCAGGCGCCTGCCGCTCCGCCTGGGGGTCCGGCGCCCGCCGCTCCGCCTGCGGGCCTGAGACCTGTCGCTCCGCCTGGGGGCCTGAGACCTGTCGCTCCGCCTGGGGGTCCGGCGCCCGCCGCTCCGCCTGGGGGCCCGAGACCTGTCGCTCCGCCTGGGGGTCCGGCGCCCACCGCTCCGCCTGGGGGCCCGATGCCCGTCGCCCCTCCTGGGGGCCCGATGCCCGTCGCCCCTCCTGGGGGCCCGATGCCCGCCGCCCCGCCTTGGGGCCCGATGCCCGCCGCCCCTCCTGGGGGCACGGCGCCCGCCGCTCCGCTTGGGGGCCCGATGCCGTCGCCCCTCCTGGGGGCCGGCGCCCGCCGCTCCGCTTGGGGGCTTGGTGCCTGTCGCCCCGCCTGGGGGCCCGGTGCCTGCTGCTTCACCTGGTAATCTGATGTGCCTCTGCCCGGAGTCCAGCCCGATGTGCCTCTGCCCGGAGTCCAGCCCGATGCCTGCTGCTGCCCGGTAATCCAGCCCATGTGCCTCTGCCCGGAGTCCAGCCCGATGTGCCTCTGCCCGGAGTCCAGCCCGATGTGCCTCTGCCCGGAGTCCAGCCCGATGTGCCTCTGCCCGGAGTCCAGCCCGATGTGCCTCTGCCCGGTGTGCCGCTGCCCGGAGTCCTGCCCGGTGTGCCGCTGCCCGGAGTCCTGCCCGGTGTGCCAGTCTTTGATATCCCGCCAGTTACCAGACCCGGGCGGTGGAACATTTTGCCCAGCTAGGACTGTTTGGAGCGTCCTGAGGCCGCTCCTTGAGGGGGGGGTACTGTCAGGAATGGACTGGCCAGCAATAGTGGGACTCACCTGCCTTGTGAGCTGCAGTACCAGGGCTGGCCAGCGGGTGCTCCCAGCAATCAGAGACTCAACCTTGCAGCCAGTCAAACACCTGGAACTAATTATACTGGTGTATTTAAGGGACATTCAGACCTGCAGACTCTGCCTTGGTGTTGTGTTTTTCCTGGGCCCTGTATCTTGTTCCTGCATCCTGCTCCTGCTCCTGTTCCTGTTCCTGTCTTGTTGCTTGACCCGGCCTGCCTGACGCTTGCACTGTATGTACTGTTATCTGTGGGTGGTTTGGTTTGGTTCGTTTGCACTGTGTTATGTTTTAGTATTGCACTGCGTTGTTTATAACTTATCTGCGTTTCCCTGCGTCAGTCACACACCTCTGGTCATACCCGGGAGCCCTGACAGTTACTATGGGCCTCTTGGCTGCTTCTCTGAGTAATGCTCTCATTGCCTGGCCTGTTACTTTAGGTGGACAGCCATGTCTTGGTAGGTTTGCAGTTGTGCCATACTCTTTCCATTTTCAGATGAAGGATTGAACAGTGCTCCGTAAGATGTTCAAAGCTTGGGATATTTTTTATAACCTAACCCTGCTTTAAACGCTTCCAAAAACTTTATCCCTGACCTGTCTGGTGTTTTCCTTGGCCTTCATGATGCTGTTTGTTTACTAATGTTCTCTAGCAAACCTCTGAGGGCTTCACAGAACAGCTGTATTTATACTGAGAATAAATTACACTCAGGTGGACTCTATTTACTAATTAGGTGACTTCTAAAAGTAATTGGTTCCACTAGATTTTAGTGAGGGGCATCAGAGTAAAGGGAGCTGAAAATAAATGCATGCCACACTTTTCAGACAATTATTTGTAAAACATTTTGAAAACCATTTATCATTTTCCTTCCACTTCACAATTATGTGCCACTTTGTGTTGGTCTATCACATAAAAATCCCAAAAAAATACATTTACGTTTTTGGTTGTAACATGACAAAATGTGGAAAATTTCAAGGGGTATGAATACTTTTTCAAGGCACTGTACATACACTAACATACATATACACACACCCTCACATACCGTACATACTGTTCATACCTACACACTCACACTCAGAGGTGGCATCCCTAGATACCACTGCTACACCTAACAGCCGGGAGAGCAGCCCGTCTAGTAGGAATGGTGAGGGTAGTGCAGGAAGGCCTAGACAGTTGGTGGTAACAGGGGATTCTATAATCAAAAGAACTGATAGAATAATTTGTCACCAGGATCACCTTAACCAAATGGTTTGCTGTATCCCTTTTGCCAGGGTTCAGCATGTGGTGGACTGGGTTGACAAGTTACTGGGAGGAGTTGGGCGTGACCCAGCTGTCTTGGTCCATGTTGGAACCAATGACAGAATACATGGACGGTGGAAAATCCTTCAGAATCAAGTTAAAGAACTTGGTTGCAAGTTAAAGGGAAGAAATATTCTCTGAAATATTGTCTGTGCCATGTGCAACACAGGAAAGACAGGGGGAGATTAGAGAACTGAATGCATGGCTAAAGACCTGGTGTAAGAGGGAAGGATTGGGTTTCTAGAGCACTGGGCTGACTTTTCATTGGGGTGCAACCTACATGCTAAAGATGATTTGCACCTAAATGGAGAGGGTCTGCTGTTCTGGAGGAGAGGTTTATGAGAAGGCTGGAGGACTACTAGGATTGAGGAGGGAGAGTGAATTAGATTATAATGGGGCAGACAGGTCAGACGGGTCAGTCCCTATGGGTGGGTGGAATGGGGAAAGATGGGTGAGGACTATAGCAGGTGTTAAGAAGGTTTCCATGTTACAAACAACCATTGAAAATGGTAGTATGTGTATGAAAATTTAAAAAAAGTGCAAAATACGAGTGCAAAATGTGACAACATATTAAAGTGTTTATTCAGTAATGCCTGAAGTCTGCCACGCAAAATAGGCGAGTTGGAAGCTTTGGTGCTTGAAGAGAACTATGATTTAATTGGTATTGCTGAATCTTGGCTTCATTCTTCACATGACTGGGCTATTAAAATTCCTGGCTATGCTCTCTTTCAGAAAGACAGGGTAAAAAGCAAAGGTAGCAGGGTCTGTCTCTTTGTGAGAAGTGATCTCAAAGCAAGTGTGAAAGAGGACCTAGTTGATGGTAAGTGTGATGAGGTGGTAGCATTATGGGTGGAACTGCAAAGTTAATAATTGGAGTTTGTTATAGGTCATCCAGTGTTACTGAGGAGGTGGATATTCAGTTCCTTGCACAGATAGAAAGGGCTGCAAGGGCTGTCACAGTGATGATAATGGCAGATTTTAACTACCCTGATATTAACTAATGGCACTGCAGGAATAGTTAAAGGGCAAAAATGTATAAACCCATTACAAGACAATTTTATTGTACAGTTCATAGAGGCCCCAACTAGGAATGATGCTCTGCTGGACTTGGTAATCTCAAATCATGCAGAGCTTACAGTATTACTAATGTTCCTAAAAAAGAACATCGGGTAGGAGTGACTATAACATGATTTATTTTAATAGTAGCTGGAAACAACAAGCACATACCAGAAAGATTAAAACACTTAATTTTAAGAGAGTGAATTTTCCAAGGCTAAAGGCTGCTCTCCAAGAGTTAGACTGAGAGGGAATATCTACATCAATGAACACATAACATAAATGGGAATTCTTGCGAACACACTTCAAAAAACAGTATATTCCCATGGGAAACAAGTTTAAAATACTAAAAATAAATCCTATGTGGCTCATGGCCAAAGTTAAAAAAGCTATAAATGATTAGAAAAGAGCTTTAAAAAAATATTAAAATAAAGAAAAACACTATCTTCATTGAAATGTTACAAGGAATATAAAAGAATATGTAAAAAGGAAATCAAGGCCGCAAAAATTCAAAATGACCAATAGACTGCAAAAGAGAGTAAGATGGACCCAAAGAAATTCTTCAAAGATATTAATAGTAAAAAAAGATCAGGTCTGATCATGCAGGCCCTTTGCAAAATAATCTAGAGTGGGTGATTGGGGACAAAGAGAAGGTAAATGTATTAAATGTCTTCTTCAACTCTGTGTATACAAAGGAGCATGAAAGAGCTCATGTCCGTAATGGGGATAATATTGACACAGCCCCAAATGACCCACAATGGCTCAAAATTGATATTGTCCAGAAATATTTATACAGAATAAAGGTGAATAAAGTACCTGGACCAGACAGCATATGCCCATGGGTCCTAAAAGAATTGAGCTCTGTAACTTCAATTTTTCCATTTTTTAGAGATTCTTTAATGATTGCCATAGTGCCTTTGGACTGGCGTAAGGCCAACATGGTGCCTATATTTAAAAAGGAGTCAAAGTCTTTACCAAGTAACTACAGACCTGTTAGTTTAACTTCTATAGTCGAAAAAATACTGGATAGGTTAATAAAAGACCACATAGATGAGTTTTTGCTAGAAAAAAAAAACATTTTAAGCAACAGACAGCATAGATTCATGAAACACAGAAGTTGTCAAACAAATCTGATTTCTATTTATGAGGAGATACAAAACCTCAGACAATGGAGTGGCTGTGGATATATAGTATACGTGGATTTTGTAAAAGCATTTGACACAGTTCCCCACACACGACTAATGTGTAAGGTAAATCTAAAGGCTTGGAAAAAATCAGTTTGTAAATAGATAGAAACTGGCTAAAAGACTGTATTCTGAGAGTAGTGGTTAATGATTCATACTCTAATGGTTATTAGTGGTTTAATGTTGGAACCCTTACTTTTTAATATATTCATAAATTGTACACTGCTCAAAAAAATTAAAGGAACCA